GAAAAGAGTCCAAAGTCCTATGGAACAACAAAAGACCTAGAATAGCCAAAACAATTCTAGGCAAGAAAGACAAATGGGAGAGATCTTGATGCCAGACTTCAAACTCTACTACAGAGCCATAATAACAAAGACAGCTTGGTACTGGCACAAAAACAGACCCAAAGGCCAATAGAATAGAATAGAAGATCCAGAAATAAAACTACATGCCTACAGTCAGCTGATATTTGACAAAGGAGCCAAAGACATACAGTAGAAGAAGCACAGCCTCTTCAACTACTGGTGCTGGGAAAAGTTGGTGGGCAGCCACATGCAGAAAACTAAAATTGGACCCCAGCCTGTCACCATGCACTAACATCAACTCAAAATGAATTTAAGACCTTATCAAACTTGAAACTCTGAAACTATTGCAGGACAGAGTAGGAGAAACACTTGAACTTATAGGCACAGGCAGGAACTTCCTGAACAGAGACCCAGGGTCACAACAAATTGGAGAGAGACTCAACAAATGGGACTACCTTAATAATAAAGTTTCTGCACAGCTAAAGCTATCACAACCAAGCTAGAAAGACAACCAACTAACTGGGAAAATATATTTACCAGCAGTATATCAGACAAGGGGTTAATATCCAGTATATACAGAGAACTCAATAAACTAATCCCTCCCAAACCTAACACAACAATTACTAAATGGGCAAGGGAACTAAAGAGAGACTTCTCAGAAGAAGAGATAAAAATGGCAAAGAAACATATGAGGAAATGTTCACTATCCCTGGGTGTAAAGGAAATGCAAATAAAGATAACCCTGAGATACCACCTTACCCCAGTCAGAATGGCCCACATCCTAAAGTCAGCCAACAACAAATGCTGGAGGGGATGTGGAGAAAGAGGAACCTTATTACATTACTGGTGGGAATGTACACTTATACAACCACTTTGGAAAGCAGTCTGGAGGGTCCTCAGAAAGCTGAATATTTACTTCCCCTATGACCCAGTCATACCACTCCTAGTCATCTATCCTGAACAACAGGAACAAGGATACAAAGACACATGCACCTCCATTTTTATTGTAGCACTGTTCACAATAGCCAGGATATGGAAACAACCCAGATGCCCCACTACAGATGAATGGATCCAAAAATTGTGGTATGTATATACAATGGAATATTATGCAGCCATTAGAAAAGACAAAATATGGTGACAGTCACAGGGAAATGGATGGAACTAGAAGAAATCATGTTGAGTGAGGTAAGCCAAGAGTAAAGAGACAAAGGGCACATGGTCTCACTGATAAGTGGATGTTAAATCCAAAATGTAAGGTGATAGGACAAAGTAAACAAGACTTGAGAAACAAAGGACCTCCACTCATCTCATCAAATCATTACTAAATGACTCCATGCTTGCTGACTACATATATGGTATATATGTACACATTGGAGAGAAACTAGGAAGACACAGAAACAGAGGAAAACATACAAAAGTGGGACCCATCAGCTTCACTGGACATTGATCAAAACAAACTAAGCCACTCAATGACAGTGATGGGAGGAGGGAATGAGCGGGAAAGAAGGAACAGCTGACACTAAGGAAAAGGAAAGAAATGTACTTACCACCCTATGTGAAAGAAATAACTATTGTCAAAGCTCATAGAACTCATAAATTTTATAGACCATGATAAAGACAATTTGCCCTATGAAGGTTAGAATGTGTTTGAGACTTTAAGTATCACTATGCTGTGAAATTTGTCAAATTTATGTAATCACTTAATCACAATAAAAAATTCCAAAAAAATGAAACTTAAACACAAGCACAGGCAGTTAGAGCTCACTGCCCTGGAAACTTGTAGATTAAAATCCATAATCTCAGTGTAGCAACCCAAGTCATCCAATGCCCCTGTAGCTTTGAGTGTACAGAAACTGGTTTGCCTCTACCAAGTAACCAGTAGGTGAAATTGAGGGAGGCACCAATCAGGGGATTAGTACACCAACAAAGACACCCTCTTTTCATACTGGTGGGCAACAAGCTGTTTGCAAGAGAGCACCTGGCTGTAGTCTCTGCTTTAGGTGTCCACCATACTCAGGGGCTGGAAGGAGGGCAGTTCAACCTCATTCTGCCACATATCCAAAGCATCAGCTTGCTCTGAAACAAGACTGTGAGAATCCCAGGATGGTTAAAATATGTCAACATCCTTCTGATCTGGGAAGAAAGCAATAGATTGTTAAAAGCCCTAGGTGAGAATCCAAGAAGCATTAGGAAAAGAAAATGGGAGTGTTTTCCTTTTCACAGCAAAGAACTCCAAGAGAGTGAAGGGAGAAATGTGCTCAGGTCTGTGTCCCTTGCTTGCTTGCCCTGCAGAGTAGAGGGAAGTCCCATCACCCTGCCCTCCACCAGGTGCCCAAGCAAAAAGTAAATGTTCTGAAACAACTCCCCAGGGACAAATTGAATCCTATAGGGCAGAGGAACTGCAAATACTATCTTAATATCTGTAAAAGACTTAATAGCTATAAAAGAAGCTATCATCCCAGAATTTAATTAACCACACAAGCAAGAACCATAACCTCTCTTGCTACCAGGTATAAATTCAGCTGAAGCCAAATGAAAAAAGTAGTATTATTCTCACTGTTTTAACTTCCCTCTTGAAATACTCTTACAGTGGAAGATCAACAGCTGAAGTGCAAATCAGCAAATCAGTTACAAAACAGACAAACTCTGTACAAGGCCAGAAAAAGAAGACCGATGTTAAAATATAGATTAAAATATAGCAAATCTTCTTTCACTAGACCATAAAGTTATTTCATTGTCCACCTGTTCGAGGATTAAGCATGGGTATATAATCTTTTCTAGACAGAGTTTCCATAACATTTCAGTGATAGACCTGTTATGAGTTTTATGTTGCTCAGTTTCCTTTGAATAAAAAAGTTAAAGAACTATCATAAAATTTTTATGTGTCTCTTTGGAAAAAAGAGAAGCAAAGTAAGATTTGGTTGAAATTAGGAGTATGATTTTTAACAAATATACAAATTACAGTAATTGGCAATAATGTATTTTAAATTTTCATTTATGTCCCATGCAAAAGGATTTTAATATACATCCATATAGGAGTTCAAGATTTGTCAAACTAAGTAAGAGCTTAAAATACATCATATAAAGAAAATAAGAGTTGGTAAATCATTAACCTGTTTGTGTTGTTTCCATATGTATAATTACAATAATGCAATTTAGCTGAAATAGAGTCTACAATTATTTCATCCTGAGTCTTCCTTAGTTTCATGATATTCATAATAGTTTAAGCTTCTAATTATTTTTTATCTAGTGCAATGTGGAACACAAAGAGAAAAACATGTTTATTTTATTGCTAGGCATAATGTTTTTTCTCCCCTCTCCAGGATAACAATTTCGTTTCCATAGACCTATGCATAAGCCTAAAGACCCTCTGCCAACATGGCAATTGCAATGTTTTTCATAAAGGATAAAAGGATAATATAAGACACATAAAACTTTAGAATTTGGGGAAGAATGTTTGGGCCCATCTGTTCCCACCTAGGAAATTGCTATGCAAATTACTGGTGTGGTGGGTGCTCAGGTGTGCTACACAGACCTGCTTCTGGGAGAGAGGGATTCATTTCCCTAGCTGCTTGGAGTACAAGTGGTTGATGGTCCTTACCTAAGATGCTTCCACTAAAGCACCATGAGCCAAATGGAAGGCTCTTAAGATGACCCTGTGAGTAAAATGCTTGGCTGACACTAGCAAGGGATGAGTAATGTAGGGGTTGGATATCTTGGCTCTCTTGCCTGAAAGCAGGAGACTCTGAAGTCTTTCCTCACTCCACTGCTCCTAATGGAATATGGGAGTATCTGAAGCCTCACAGTGACTGCAATGAATTCCAGTTTCTTCTCCCTCTCTCCCTCCCTCCCAGTCCACAGGCTTTCTATTGATCTTGCTAGCTATGTGCTTGAATGGGGATAATCAAGAAATCTAATAACAACAGATGCTGGAGTAGATGTGGCCAAAAGGGAACCCTATCACATTGTTGGTGGGAGTGTAAACTTGTTCAACCACTTCGGAAAGCAGTATGGATGGTCCTCAAAATACTACACATAGAGCTCCCCTATGACCAATCCCACTTTGGGGCATTTAGCCAAATGATCTCAAACAAGGCTGTATTAAGGCTACCAGCACATCTATGTTTACTGCAGCATTATTTACCATAGCTAACATATGTTACCAACCCAGATGCCTCTCATTAGATGAATGGATCAAGAAAATGTGGAAGATAGATAGATAGATAGATAAATAGATAGATAGAATGGAATTCTATGCCTCCATCAGAAAGAATGGCATTGCCCCATTTGTTAGGAAATGGAAAAACTTGGAAAAAATTATATTAAGTGAAGTAACCGAGGCCCAAAGAAACATAGGTCCCATGGTTTCCCTTCTTTGCAATAACTAGTATAATTCCAAGACAAGCAGAAAAGGTCAAAAGCTATGTACAAAAGACCACATAAGATGATGCTAAGCAAAATGAACCCCAAGATAGAGACACAAGTGGTTTTTTCTTTCTTGCTGTTGTTTTTAATGTACTTATATCATGTTTTTTTTTGTTCCTTTTGTATGTTCTTCCCCCATGGTATAACCCCTGTTTTCACTGTATTTGATTCAGGTGACCTGCATCTTGTATATACGTTTTTCTAATTTGGGGAGAGTAAGGGAAATAACAAAATGCTGAAATAAGGTTACAGGATGACCCATTTTAACAACAATATGTACAAGACACTACGTTGGAAATGAATTTTACAGCTTTTTTGGGTGGGGAGGAGAAGTTGAGGAGGTGGTGATGGAAGGGATGGTAGGGGGAAAACAAAGGAGGAGTTAAAAATACTGGACAGGAAATGTACTTATTACCTTACTTGTGTAACTGTAACCCTTCTGTACAGTATTTTTACATTAAAATATATACAAGAAGATATAATACCATGGGCTTCATATTTGAAACTCTATATTGAACACATTTTGTACCCTGTAAACTTTTAATTCATACACCTTCACTTTTCTGTTTCATTGAGACAAGCTGTACCTATGTAGCTCTGGCTGATCAGAATTCCTGTTCGTCCTGCTTCAGCCTCTGGAGTGTTAGGATTTTGAGCATTCAATCCACTCCTAACAAAATTAATTGTAATCAATTCCACTGACTTCAAGCAGTTCCTATCTTTTCATACTAAATTTGTTAACAGATTAAAAAAGTTCAAGTACTGACTACTTACTAGTATGGAGTAAGGATAATGGCAGTAATTAAATAAAGCCTGGGTGATCATAGCAACTAGTTACTTTCTTCCTTCTTTTTCCTGTTCATTTCTGTTAGTAGACATTTACAGCTCAATCTGCAAATAGTTACCTATAGAGCTAACAGGACTGTGTGTTCACAAAAGTCCTAATTCATGAATTTGATAAAAAGTACTATAGTAATGAGTTCCTAAATATTTCTGAAGACAGAGAAAGTAAACTTGACGAGTTTGCATAGTTGAAAAACAATTTTAAGGTGCACATTTAGAAATTCTGCTTTGGCCAGGTGCTGGTGGCTCACATCTGCCATCCTAGCTACTCAGGAGGCTCAGATCTGGAGGACCTCAGTTGGATATCAACCAGGATAGAAAAGTCCATGAGACTTCATCTCCCATTATCTAGCAAAATACTAGGCTAGAGGAATGACTCAGGTAGTGCAAGCAAGCCAGTGAGTGTGAGGCCCTGAATCCAAACTCTCCTTCCTCCTTCCCAAAAAAACTGCTGCTTTAATAACATTCAAGGATAAATAGGAATGGAAGCCAGTGGTGTTAGGGGAAGCATAGGAAGGGCCTACCCCTGGTTCACCAGCTTGTACTCACTCAGTGAGCCACTGATTTTTTAATGAACATGGCAGCTGTCTCAGACCTCCAGAAACAGTCCAAACTTAACATACTTTCACATTGTTACCTTTGTCAAGATTGATTTCCCAAAAAGAATATGTTCAATGAAAAATTTCTTTGAAAATCAATGCTTTGGAATACTACTGGAGAACGCAATAATATATTTCTATTATACACTTCTAAACTTGTTCTATTCCAAGTTTAGCCAATGTTAACAGAGTGTCTGACAGAGTGTCTTAGTCTTAACCTTAATCTACTACTTGAACTTTCAATTTCGACAGATGACAACAAAAGTAAAAAAAATGATCAGAGCTAGCACCTGTTAAATATTCATATGTTGTATACTGAAATATAGATTTTTAAAAATACATATATAGGATTCATAAAAGAATCATCAATCGCTAAGGTTCTGATGGGAAAATTTACCATCAATTTATGCAGAGATAAATTTATACATATATATTATTACTACAACACAACTGACTTTTTTATTTCATTTTTTATTGTGAAAATACAGAGGGATTACAATTACATGGGCAAGATAATGAGTACATTTCTTATCAAGCATTGTAGCCTCCTCCTTTGTTTCCCCTTCCCATCCCTTCCCATCTTCCCCCTGCCCCATCCAATCCTCCCTGCTCCCCCTGCCCCCCCAAAGTTGTAAAGTTCGTTTTCTACATAACGACTTGTACATTTCATTGTTATAATGGGTCCACCTGTATCCCTATTTAAATGATTTGTTTTTCCCCTTCCCCTCCACAAATTATACCAACATACAGTGAAGGTAGGGGTTATACTGTGGGGGAGGAACATACAAAGCAACAAAGAAATAATCTTACAAATGTGTTA